CGGAGCTCCTAAATGCTCTTACAAAAGAAGACTTCCAGCATTGCTTTGACCAATGGAAAAAACGAATGGAACGGTGTGTGGCGAGGGGAGGGGAGTACATTGAAGGGGAGCATTCAATTGTAGAATAATTTTTAAAATAAAACTCTTTTTCATGAGCAGTCTCGTTATTTAATAGCTGGACCTCGTAGTGTACCACGAGCTGTGGAAATCTGGTCAAAACAGGGGATCTCTACCGAGAACAAATTATCCTTTTGAGCCAAGCATTGCACGGAAAACGATCAAAATATGAAATGAGACAGCATAAAGTGATTTTGCTTTATGACAACACTCGATCTCACGTTACAAAATTTGTCAAGTAAACGTTAGAAGCACTTCATTGCTACTTTATGCGGCTTATTCACCAGACTGTGCCCCTTCCTATCACTTATTTCGACCGATGGCACACGCACTTACAGAGAGAAACACTTCAATTCTTAGAAAGACATCGAAAAATGGGTCTTCAAGTGGATAGCCTTCAAAGATAAGTCATTCTTTCGCCGCGGAATTCGCTTACTGCCCGAAAGATGGGAAAAAGTCATCGCTAACGATGGACAATATTTTGATTGAGGTATTTTTTAATTTTGTTTTTAAATAAAACCATACTTTTTACAAAAAAACGGACGGAACTTTCCGATTGACCTAATATAATAATATATAATGCAAAATGTATTGTCATATTATTGTTCCTATAACTATATATACACATTGTAATTGTACTTCCACAATCTGCTTAGTTATAAACCAAGAAATTACTTTCATTTTTATGTTAAGAATTTACAAACGCGTGAACGTTTATAACAATTATTGTGGGTATCAAAATTTATATTACTTATATAGTATATATACCACTACAAAATAGTTGTAATTTTACACAAAAATTGTTCACAGTGCATGGTGCTTGTACTAGAAAGCCCCTAGGTCCGTCCGCTGTGATTACCGTTCATCGATTTTAAAAAAGTAATCATTTCAATAAATATTTTTTAAATATTTTTCAGCTTTTTAGATTGGTTTAAACATGGTATTTA